GTCAAAACAAAATGGGAACATATAATCACATAACATTAACCTCGATGGATATGACATCATAAAACATTTTTGCAGTCAAACTTATTGGAGTTTGACTCCATTATCGCAATTTATGTTAGAGCATGCAACTTTTTGGTATATTTCACAGATTTAGCAACCATTCTATAATACCATTTAGTCCGTTTATTGATGACGCCTTTGCCTGCTGACCGCTAGCTGATGATGGTGATATTGATGATGCTGATGAGCTGAATACACTCGAAGGCAGCTCAATAGTTATGGTCGCTGTTGGAGAAGAAGAAGACAAGGCACTTCCCCCCGCTGTTGAAGAGGAATTTATGGCTGAAGAAGAATTTGAACCCAAAGAGGAATTTGTGGCTGAAAAGAATTCAGTTAATTAAGGTGATATTATAGAAATTATGTACTAATATTTCTTGTRTAATTTTTATGTTTACTATGTTTTTCGACATGTTTTGACAGCAAAGTTGACTGCCATCTTTAAGAGATTTTGGTCTTGAATATTACTGTAGAATTTTCCTTTAAAAAGTAATTTGATTGAATTAAAATGAGTTTACATGAGATATTCTTTCACAAACAGGCAACAATATGCTACCACAGTATTGAATACTTAGARTTTTTTGCATGATTATATCTTGAGATTAAATATTTTTCTCTGGCTTAGATATACAATGAGTTTATTCAGACGTTTCGATTATATCTATTTGACTATGATTGTCACTCTTATGATAATGCCGATTTTATTTCTTATTAAGCTTTCGAATCTCCTTGACAACGGCTTATAATCAGTTCATTTTTTTCACTTCTCATTTCTTTCTTATTTTCGTTCACTTCTCGTTCAAGTTAAATCGATTATTGTTAAGACAATGTCAATAAAACRAAGATCTAACGGTAACTTCACATAATTTTACCAAATCCTGCGATGTGCTACTCGGCTATTTTTTCTTTAACGATTATAGAAAAAAAAATGCGATTTTATGATAAAATATCGCGATAAAAGTGCATCTAAAAGAAGCAGAAAAAGCAAGTTTAGATAAGATGGGAAGGTAAAGTACATATTCAAATTAATAACGTCGCTTATCAATCTTTAAATAAACAAGAGATTATGATGTATCGCAGATTGACAGTTTGACATGATGGAAAATTTCCGCTTGCAATAATTTTGAAACTTCTAATTGGAAAAATACATGAAAACTCTCCGATTTCTTTTGTATGGAGTCTTTAATACCTTTTCAGCGTTACAATTCGTAAATACGCAATTTAAATAAACATAAATCGTACGTAAAACGTACGTAAGAACGTACGTGATATTTGTATTTTCTTTCTAACCTGTAAAACTGACTTTCCGGCCTTTTTCACTCCTCTTCCTGACTTTACGCACATAAACAAAAATAGTTCTGTATTTTCTGTGGTTAATTACATTTTATTGCCCAACCATGTTGTTTGTTTTTAGTTCAAAATGATATATCTGGGAAAATAATATTTTCCGATGAGAAAATATTACTTTTTCTCTGTTTCCACTGTTATATATTTTGCCTCTACTACAAGTACTACTTCCTTTTCAAATTTAAACAATATCTCACACTTATTTGAGGCGAATATTTAGGAAAATGAAACATTATAAGCGTTGCTTTCCCTAGATTTAGTCCAAAAAAAGACATCTTGCAAAAGCGCAAAAATGATTAGCGCAAACAAATGTTTTCACGATAATCTTACTCGCTAAATGGTCCCTTATACCGCAAAAAATCCTTTAAGATTTTTGTGAGTTTTAAACGTCGTCTTGTTTTAATTTTATTTACACAAATAGGAACGCGAAGGAATAAGAATCCATAGTCGATATTTCTTTATGCAAACAGCCTACTTTAGCCATACTGTCCCTCAAATAACATATATAGAAAAACAAATAACCGTCATTTCAATTTATGAAACGCGCACAAGCTATAAAACACACGGATTTAAAGAAGTTCTTAAGATTTTATGGTAAGATAAGATCGAGACTTCCAAAGAAAAAAAATGATAACGTCCGGAAAGCAGCTTGAAGTACTAATTCCTCTAAAACAGYAACTTTTCACGCAAAACTCTACTTTTAAAGTTTGTATTTCTACGATAAAACTTAGTAGAAATATTATTTTCTTACCAGAAATCTGTGGAAGGTAAGAAAGAACCTGAAAATTCGAAAAAAAAATATTAGAATAAAGTGTTATCTAGTTCCCAGGTGTTTAAATACGAATCGGAAAAGAGAAGGGAACTAAATTTAGTACAGAATTATTATCAAGCAAAAGTTAAAAATCTTCTCACTTTACCTGTATTACGAAAACAATACCGAGCAACATGATCCTCCGTCGCCAAATTCCCAACTTTTTTCGGARCAYGCAGTGTGTTTTTCCAACTTAAATTAAAGTTTCGAAGAGAATCCTTTGAATATTCAATACTGAAGATCTGCGCAAGTAATTTCAAATGGAAATTCACTCCATTTGAACCTAAATAATTAATTGTTTTTCATTTAACTCCATGGAAATGCCTTTGTTAACGACGACACTCGTTTTAAACTTGAGTGTAAATTTCGCTCAGACGYTCAATTTGATGKCTTGTGAGACAMAACTGTCGATCATTTCGCTTTTTGGTACTYATGTAAAGTTCAAGTCYAGTTTCCCGAGGAACGCTCTAGAAAACAGTGTTTAATTTATTCGTACTTGTGACTTCTGGGCAGGTGTTGGTCTTAATGAAACTTTTCCTATTTGAGACCTCCATGGGTTTCGAGATTTCTCAGTTTTACCTTGGCTTTTRTGGCAAAAAAAGTAGTATGTCGCTTTTTGATTTTTCCGGTTTTTTTCCAGAAATGATCAGTATTTCTCAGAAATGATTTTTTTTCATCATCATCATTATCATCAATATTATTGTATAACTTTCTTGGGAGAAGGAATCAATTGTACAATATGCCAGTGAATGATATTGAGAAATAATTATTGAGTTGTGCCCGTCAACTTTTCTATCTACAGTCAACTCTCGCCTTAAGGACACCGTGCTATTACGGACACCTAGATAATACGGACATGAAATAATGAATCTCCGGCAAAAAAAAATACAAAGAAATGACTGAAAGTAACTCCCGTTATTAAGTACTCTCGCTACTGCGGACACTACATTACGGTCTCGAGGGTGTCCGTAATAGCGAGAGTTGACTGTAGTCCATCTTCTAGGGCTTCATAATTGATGTCCGCAGTTTTGTGGTGACGTCGTCCTCTTAAGAGGTACGATATAATATAAAACCTTTTAGCGTTCTCTTTTATACTTTGTTAGACCCAAAACAATGTAATATCCTCTATTTATTCAGTAAYGACCCTTGGAGTGCAAGAGAAAAAGAACGGAACMGTCCAAATTTGAAAGTTTTATACACTTGAATTTTAATAATATTTTTTACAAAAAGTGTAGCAAATAAGCATTATATATGTATTTATTTAATATTAAATAATTGCGAAATAAAGAGAGAGAGTAAGATAAATTTTTTTCAAGCTAATCATATCCAATCGATAAATCTCCGTTTCAATTCCGCGCCTTCACTGCAGTTCGATCGATATCTCGGTTTTGTTTCGATCGATAAYGTCCAATCAATAACCATTCGACATTTCTCTCATAATYATCCAGTCAATAACCGTTCGGCATTCTAAATTCCCATCGGCTTCATGTTCGATCGATAACATTTCGTTTGCTATGTTTTGATCGATATTACTTCGYTCCTTAATTGCCAGTCAATAACTTTTCTGTTTCAAAGACTTCATCGATTCCATTCTCCTTTGTTTCATTCAGACCATGTTCYAAATAATATTCTTTAAGCTGGTTTAACCACTGWGTYGGATTGCCGTTAAGATAACTGTTTTTAACAGGGCGTGGCGTGGAGTGGTGCCCAGTCCTCATACGTGTAAGAAGCGTGACTTTACATGACGTCATACCATCTCCTATAGGCCTAATAACCATTCCTGATAATCGAACGTGTATTCTAGAAAACACAAAAATTGTTACAATTAATATAGATTAAATGACTGCTAGGACACACGTCCAACACATTTACACCTATTTAGAAAACATTGCATTTTTATTATTAATCTTCACATTATAATTATAGCTGCATTACAAAATGATTATTATAAACTTTATTGCTTCCCATAGTGAAGGTCTTGACTATATGGAGTTGCAATAGTCAGTCCCAAACTCCTTTTWAACTGTAATAGAGCGACCAACAATGCACTTCGGTCTTGGAATACACTATCTCAGCAATCAACGCATTCTGAAAACGCTGTATAACCTACATTGATGCGTCCGTCAACATTAGTCTCCTTCACGGTTACCTGCGCCATCTTGAAAGGCAGCCGTGCCTTAACATCGAAGCGAGACAACCGTTGAGCGTGCAATGATAGATATCTGTGAATAATTGTCTGTAGGTGTGAAACAAGGTTTCTATCATTGCACGCTCAACGTTCGTCTCGCTTCGATGCAAAGGCACGGCTGCCTTTCAAGATGGCGCAGGTAGCCGCGAATTAAGGAGACTATTTATGCTTTTTAGAGTCAAAATTCAATAATTAATTTGTACCTTCCTAAGGTAGACTTATCGGATTCTGCAACACTACTATGCTCCGTACTACACCAACTAATCACGTGATGTGGTTCGGGTGTACTGAAGGGACGGTCTGCGCATGACAAGACGATTTCCCATGGACGATATAGAATAGGCATCTTAAGGCAACTATAGCGATAAAATAACACACCGTTATGATACAAGGTAAAATAATACACCATGGTTAACTCCATAGGTTCTTTAAGAGTTTTCCGACACAGGTCCGATGTATCTCCGACGCAGCTCCGATATTACACCGACGCAATTCCGATATGTTCTTACCAATATACTACTTTTGAGTCGATATCTTCTTGTAAAACGACGACTGTCCGAAAGGTTTGATCCCATCGCACTCGTAAACTCCAGTCAGTAAACAAACGAACAGCTGTAAAACAAAGTGCTGATTAATGAACGAACTAAAAAAAGATGACTCACTAAGCCATGTGGGATATACTCAGAAATTAAACGTATGAGCATGCGTGGTTGTTACTTACCATCATTGTATGGTATTCCATCGATGGCGAAAGTTGTCTGCAACAAGGGAGGGTAAACGTCAATGAATTTTGAACTTTTTTTAAAGTCTAGGAATTGTCAGGAATATTTTCACATTTATATAAAAGTCTGCGCAAAATAAAAATCAGGGAATCATGATTCTTATCTTTTTCTCAAAGATTGGTATCTCTAAAGACGATAGGGAATGTGCAATACAAGTTACATGAGACATATTTTTTCCGCTAGAAGGACGACTAAAGAGAGTTGTGCAACTTGATCATTCTTCGTTTGCAGGTTATGTCACAGCGGCCATCTTGGAGGAACTTCAACAAAGGATTTCTCATTAGTATCTATTGTTCATTCCTCCAACATGGCCGCCGTTCTTTTATCTTTTGAATCTCATGGGAATGGTTGAAAACGATCAATTGAATAGTTTTTCGTCAGTGAAAAGCCAGTGAAAAGCCAGAAAAGAATTTTTTCCGTTTGAAAATGAGTGGGAACTCTGAATAAAGTTACCTTTGTAAGTGGCGTAGACTCGGTTGGCGTTGGTTCTCTTCTAAACGAGTGGATCCCGATTTCTCGTTTTAATGTTTTCCAGTGATCCGTGCTTTCTGCTTCTTGTCTTAATAAGTGTTCAAAATCTTCGTTTTCTATTAAATGCTTGTCTTCACTTAACATTCGTGATCTTCGATGATGTCCTGGACTAAACGCCGCTGCAATAATAATAATTTATTAATTATTAACAATTATTTTCATATATTAATAATTATTTTCGGCGGTATGTGTGAAACAACAGGGCCCAGTTCTAAGTCATATATTAACAAATTGTATGTTATCGGACCGATGTTGTTGGACTGACAAATCGAGTTTTATCGCCGAAACCGATATTATTGGACCGACATATAATATCGAACACTAATTGTAAGTTATTGGACCGACAAATCGAATTTCGTCGAACCGACAAATTGTATGTTATCGGAACGACATTTTAAGATATCGAAGCTTACTTTGTCTTTGTAGTAACCATTGCTTGCAAGTAAACGTGAAATGCTGGCCCGTTTCTTTAACATCAATCGTTATATCGTCGACGAAAAAACCTGACTCTCCGTTAGCAAAGTCGCCATTACTTGAAGATGAAGATGAAAGACGTTTGAACTTTTGGATCAGGGTAGGACTCGATGTCTGGCTTTCACTTTCACTACCGACATCGTATGACAACTTGAGATGCTTGATCTAAAGACAATGATCATGAATCATAACGACAAGCTCAGGCAGCTTACCATAAAATATTTAAGACACGCAATGGTTGGGCTGCCTGATGTCTCTTCTCGTCAAAAAAACCCCGTTGCTTTATACAGCGAAAGCCTTTCTACGGCAAAGTTTATATACATGTATCAAAACTCTACACGGACAGTATCTATTTCACGTGTTATAAAGACAATTTATTAAAGGATTATTATTTGAATCACTGCTTATCATATACGAACTCACCCATCCTATATTGGCTGCCATTATTTTTCTCTCAAAGTCCATCTCTTGTTTGTTGACATCTGTTGCTTCAATCTCTAAAGGTAGTTTACTGGTGTAACCATTCTCTCCAAAGAGTTGTATTGAGAATTGCAATACTGGTGAACCGTTAACTCCGTTACCGTGCACATCACTGATCTTGACGTTAGTTTCGTACGTTGCTATAAAGAAGAGGATTTTCACAGTACAGTCAACTCTCGCATTGCGGACAGTAAAATACTGAATCCCCGGCGAAAAATACAAAGAAATAACTGCGGACTCTCGCTACTGCGGACACTAAATTACGGTCCGTAATAGCGAGAGTTGACTGTATTTAATATGCAAACGTAATCACTGTCCGCAGTTCTTTCCTTACGCGATAAGGCCGAAAGGGATTATGGGTAAATTACCATGCATCTCTGTATGGAGAGTCAAAACTCGCATTTCTCTCGCGTTTTGAGCAAGGACATGAGTCAAGGATGTCCCTTTTGATAACGTATAGTTATTGAAATATTTCTGTCCATATTTTTTTCAGTCTGCTAGTTGCGCAGGTTGAGAAGCGCACGACAAACTTTTTTAAGAGACTTTACTGTTTTTTATGGTAGTGATAACCATCCATCAATCAAACTAAGCAGCCAAAGACAGAAACAGACTGTGAAGAGACTAGACAATCAACTAAAAACTTAAAACCAACCAGCCAGCCATAAGTCAGACCAACTTACCTTTCTTGGCATGTGCTCCATAAACCTCGACTCGCATGCACGGTTTTCCGTACCAACTAACCGGGTAAAACCTGACAAACCTGGCACAAACAGGTTTGACAAGGTTTCTTTTTACGACCGTTTTGCTGTCTTTATTGCCCTGTAGTTCCTAAAATTTGAAAAGTAATTTTTTTATTAACAAAAGAGTAACAATTTTTCAATTTTTCTCGGAATATTCTTACATTTGTCTTTCATTGATTTACGTTAGATAAAGCGCAAAGCATGTTTTTTGCAATAAAGTAGAATTGATGTGTTGAAAGGTCCAAAAATATCCAGTTTTAATCGGTTTCAATCCTCAGCCCGTTGGTAAACCCTGATTAGCGTTAATCTAGGATATACTCTATGGACTCTTTAATAATCCCTAGGTATCCTTTACAGAGATTTACCAAGGAATGTTGTCACCTGGTTATAAGTTTTTCCTTCTTGGTAATATTCCCATTTATCTCCGTCTACAGAAAACTGAAGCTTGTAGACCTTGACAAAACGGTCAGCCCCCGTGTTCCCAACACCCTGTGTAGCCACGCCTGTGACGTCATGAAGGCTCCCAAGGTCAACCTGAAGGTAGGGATTCACTGCTGTCAAACTTGAGCACCAAGCCCCTCTCTTACAATTTAGGCGCGCGAAGTTTGTTGAGGAGTCGGTGGCTGTTGAAGAGGCTGTAATGTAGTCATCGGGAATGTCTTTGCTTTCTAGGCCCAGGGCATTGGATTGTTGTCCTAGATAAAACAGGTAGCCCAAGCTTAGCATTTTTATTAGTATGATATATAGATAAAATTAGACTTAGTGTGCGCTGTAGGAAAGCTCTTCGGCCCTCTCGCGTTATGACGTCATGCAACATTCGTAGAGATGCATGATGGGATTGACGAAGCTTACAAACTGGAGTTATGCTGAATGTCGGGATTTTTTTGCGAACAACAAGAATTTTCTGTTGATCTTACTGGTGTTTGAGTCTATGGTGCGCAGGCAGTGCAGGCATCTTATCAAAGGTTCTTCTAGAATTGTATGTCATTCGTGCGGGATCCCTGTGCTTTTTAGTTTCGGGCTTCCTTTAGCGAATCCATGCCATATATGGAAACAAACAAAATGGCAGATTGTTGGAAAGTGTTTTCGCTATAATATCTGCAAGTTTCAGACGATTCCATGCTTTAAAAGTCGAGAAAATCGCCAAAAATCAGTCTTATCGTACTTCCAAATAAGGTAAGATTACCAAATAAGGCTGCCAAACGAAGGACAACTTTTTTGGGACAATTCTTTGATATGTTCTCGACAAATGAACACCCGCCATCTTAGTAATTTAATTAATACCATGATGAAATTCGTAACGCAAACATGACGTCACAAGGGAAAAGGACTACTCCTAAACTTTTTAGAGAGGTTAGAAAAGAATCTGCCAAAGCAGAAATAAATTAATTTAAGCCTAAGATTTTCACAACGGCATTTCAAAATGTAAGTGTTATATTCTGCATATTGACTCAGTGAACTTTCGTGAGCTCTTTGAAATATCGACCGTGAAAATATGTATTTACATTAAAGATTTTAAAAAAAGGACGAGAAAACGAGCAAAGGTTGAGCTATATTACATACCTGAATAGGCGGAGGTTAATCCATCCAGACGTTGTAAGGACACCTCATGCTGACTGTGGCGAGTTTTTGGCATATTTTCACTGTAAAAGATTGAAATTTGGACGTAAGAATGTTGCGGAAACTAGCGGTACACTAGTATGATCTACGCCGGTGTTTCTAAAGAAACAGTTGTGCAAAAGATAATTTTTTACACCTTAAAAAAGTAGGTGAAACAAAGAACAATGTGGGCAAATATTCTAAACAAATAGAGTATATATATATATATAACGATGACCGTATTATTTTTTCAGTTTGAATTTCGGATTCAGATACTAAATTTCTCTTTCCAAATGCCCTTGTGTGGTACTCCATAGTTTCTTATGCAAATCCCTGTGCGTTTTTTTATTAACTTTCATATATACTATTTTTTTTTACAATTTTTGAAGTGTTGTGGAAAAAATTTACGACCAGCCTACGAATAATCTACGACAAATGTGCGACCAGTTTACGAACAATTTACGTAAAATCAACGAAATATTTTTCGTTTTTTCGGTAAGAATTTATAATCAAATTTACAATAAGATTGAGATCAATCAATTAACGAAGAATTTAGAAACAAACGTGATCTTATCGTTTTTGCCCCCTATCGTGAACACTTAACACTCATTTGACAGTAACTTAGTAGAATAAACAAATTTGATAAAGTTATTTATTTTGTTTGATTTCAAATGCGAAAATAAAAGGTATTTATCACAGGCTTTTAGATAGGCAAACATAGTTTATTGAACGTGTATCAAGTTGGTCAGAGTAGATAAGAATTCAAAGTTGAAGGAACACTAAAAGATAATGAATTGGTCACTTATGTCGAGCAGAACGAAGTGATCGATGAATTGCTAGATGTCTGATTGAATGAATAGATTTACTTATAGTTATTGATTGATTAATTGAAGGACTTGATGCATTTTAATTAAAATGTAGACTCAAATGACGACACAATGGATAGAGGTATGAATGGATGCAAAAATAAATGGATGGATGAACAAACGAATGGATGAACAAATGAACAAATGAATCAATGAACAAATGAATGGATGAACAAATGAATCAATGAACAAATGAATCAATGAACAAATGCATGGATGAACAAATGGATGTATGTATGAACAAATGAATGTATGAACAAATGAATGGATTGAATGAGCGATCAAATGAGCCTTGTACCTGATTCAGTAACCCTCAGTATGCCATTAAGAGCAAAAAATACAATAAAATACGCCCTCACCCGTAGTACTATACCTACTTGAATACGATAGCCTAAGCTCATTAATAAAAGACGTTGCTAAAAGACAAGTGCCATTATAGAAAGAACATAGTGTTGCAAGTATTCAACGTTGACATGAATACTGAAATACCATATTCACGAACATTGGGCGCAAAAATACATTTACACGTGTTACTTAGAAATAAACTTGCACTTTCGAATTTGACCGGGATTATAAGCGGTCAGTAGATTCCCAGGAACGCTATGAAGTTGAATTGTGTAGAGAGAGTGTTAAATTTCACACTCTAAAGTTAGAACTTAGTACTTTTAGTCCTTAGCTAGCTTGTGTTTAGATGAAATCGCTCTCATACCTTTGACAACCTTGGCTCTCTTGTCGTACTCTAAGGCAGAGAATTTTGCTTTATTATTTACGCTACGCAAAACGTTGACCTCCCGGGTCACCGGTTAAAACAGAACACTTAATAGCGAAAATAATCAATGAAAATGTTACCAATAAAGGAGTTATCTCGATTTAGTATTGTATAAATACACTTACCTCCAAGACATTTCTATTACTGTTGAAACAAGCAACCGTATTACATGAACACTGGTTCGTCTCGATGGTATTTTAGCGCAAAGCGCTGATTAATTGCCATAACTAGTTGCTCTGTAATATCAAGTAACCGAGTTTTGAAACATATACCCGGCGCGTTCAGAACATGCTATTGGTCCTTTGAATCTTGCCCATAACTAGTTATAAAAACCGGTTTTAAAAATAATTGAGTTTTCCTTAGCTCAGCGGATTCATTCACGACCTTCGCATGTACGTGATGAAAACGGGTTTTCGCCAAAATCCAATTACCGTGATAAATGCTCAAAACTCCAGGATTAAAAGCTTGGATAGGGTCGTAGGACGTTTTCTCAAGCACCCCTAAAATTATCAAAAGCTTTTCTAAAAGGCGTGGCTTTTCACATACTGGAATATGTGGCTCTTCTATCGCCCGTTCTTTTAAGTTTAATTTTTCTATCAAAAGCATCCTTTTTGTGCCCTGATTGCAGAAGGTCGATGTTTTCTCTCATCGCTACTGTATTTGTTGGCACAGAGCCGGCGGTGACACGATAAAGAAAGTAACTTCGACTCGTAAAAATGCCAAATAGTTGAAATTACTGCCATCCAGATTGCTTTCATGCTGTTCTATTGTCTGCTTCTATTCCTCGGGATGCTCGCTTTTGCTTGAAATTTGGAGCTTAACTGATAGCTATGAAAGACGTCCGAACCTATCGTCAATTTTCCGGATTTGTCAGATCAGCGGTGTATCCAGGGAAGTCACTAGAGGCTCCTCGGAAATCCTAAAAGTTTTTTTTTAGGATTAAAGATTCAAGTTAGATATGTCTTTGAAGCCTAGTTCAGACGACGTATTTGACATATATCTAATAAAGGTCGTATTTTATTTATTTTTTATAATATTTGATCACCGAACCAAGAAATAAAAATTGACTATTTGCATACACCTTATTCCAAATTATACAACTTTTCAGTAAAATCAGACGTTTTGATTGGTTGGCTTTCGTGTGTTATCAAAGTATAGATACACGGATTACGTCAAAACTAATTGTTTGTTGTATAAAACAGATAGATCTCATTTTTCCGTGCGTGTGTACTCTAATAGATACACAGATGACGTCAAAATGTAGTGAGAACAACAGTCACGCTCACGCACTCGACTGCGTCTCGTGCGTACTTTTTTGTTCTCACTACATTTTGACGTCATCTGTGTATCTATTAGAGTACACACGCACGGAAAAATGAGATCTATTTGTTAAATGGCTAACTAGCCCTTGATGTCTCGTTTTCATAAAATTATTCTTTTATCTTTGAGCTTGAGAAAAGAAAAGAACAATTTCATGAAAACGAGACATCAAGGGCTAGTCAGCCATTTTGGAATAAGGTGTATTCGACTGATTGAAGTCGTATAAAAGTACATTCAGTAATATCGAAGTGTGTAGATTCACTCAGATTCCTAAACTTTTATAAAACACATGGGAACGCAGTATGTAGGTCTAAAAAAGAAAGAAAAATAGAACTTTTTTTTTTTTTTTTTTTTGTAGTTATCGTTGGGCTTTCCTGATTTTTCAAACATTTTGTCAAACATATATGCCGAAAAAAAACAAATTTCACAAAAAGAACCCCACTTCGAAAAATCATTGGCTTGCCACTGGTCGGCTCTTTTAAGTCGTGCATATGTAAGATAGATAGAAGTACTTTTTGTGTCGAGCTAGGAGTATAAGTCCTAGTCCGGGACCTAAAATTGCCTAAAATCGCCTAAAATCGCCCAAAATCGCCCAAAATCGTCCAAAATCGCCCAAAATCGCAGTAAATCGCCTTAGATTTAGATGGTTTTTTGGTGATTTTGCTTAAATCGACTAAAATCGCTTAAAATCGCCTTGATAATCTCCCAAAATTACGGCGATTTCATGTCCTGGACTAGACTAGTCCGGTACCTAACATCGCCTAAAATCGACCAAAATCACCTAAAATCGCCCAAAATCGCAGTAAATCGCCTTAGATTTAGATGGGTTTTTGGTGATTTTTGCATAAATCGCCTAAAATCGCTTACAATCGCCCAAAATTACGGCGAGTTTAGGTCCCGGACTAGGCCTAGTATAGAAGCCCACCTGGTGAATAATAATTTCAAAGAGGAGATAATACTATCATCTATTCACAACAACATATATACCAACGCTTTACCCTGGTTCCAGAGGCTTGTCTTTTATTCTTTTGCTTACTATGTTATAAGCAAAAGAATAAAAGACAAGCCTCTGGAACCAGGGTACCAACGCTTAGGAAATGACTGAGAAAAAGTATTTTAATTAAAAAAATGGGAAAGTGTAAGCAACGAGTTCTCATATAAATATTCAAATAAATATTCTAAAAATAAATCGAAGAATAAATGAAAATAAAAATATGAACAAGAACATTACCATAAAATAGGAATTTAAAATTTCGAGACAAGGTGGATGACTTTTTTTTCTTCAAAAAAATTTATTAGAAAACTATAAAAAGTGTTCGGAATTAGCTAGGCACTAGGTGTTTCTTCTGAGAAATATTCAAAAAAAATATTATTCAAAACAACTACAAAGTGGTCATGTATAAAAACAATTATTTCAAAAATAGAATWTTTACTATAGCAGTGAACTAAATGAGTGACTTTCTTTTGATTGCATAGAAATATCATTTTTCAATATTGATTGAATTACGGCTTTAGTTTAAAAACACCTCTTAAAAAAAACAATAAGTTAGGTGCTTAAAAGCTTAAAAAACTCTCCCACATYAATATTTATATTGTTATGATATAATATGAGTTAGGCAATGAAAAATAATTGGCAAACGGTCAAAAAAGGACACTAAAAATTGCWGTAAAAAGCAAAAATAATGAAAATGTTAAAAAGCTATGTCAAAAATAGCACTTTCGAGACTAATACYTACATTTTCTTAATAAACAGAACGTTAATTACATAAAGATGAATTATTTCAAGTGCTTTCGAAGTCTTCTTCAGTAAAATATTTCAAATATATGGCATAATATTTGTTGATCGATTACATGTTCTGGACTTTAAATTTGGCGGCAAAGTTACGAGGAAAACAACTAACTCCATAAAACTGTGACCGATTTCCTTCAGAGATCTTTTCCTTAATTGCCTTGAAACATTGGAAAACAAAGTGATAAATATATTGACGTGTTTCGCAATCTTTTACATAGATAAAATAAACATTTTACATTAAAAGCAGTTTCCTCTTTATAGAGAGGGTTAGTTCCCCTTGCGGCAAAACAACCGAATGAGGAGTTCTTTTTGGTTGAATTCAATAAACCGATGGAAAGTGAAAATRAATTAGTGGACCTACGCGATGTGGTCAATTTCATACATTGAATGATCGATTGATCGGATGCTGTGTCAATATATATGTACTATGGGTATTTTGAAAGCTCTGACGGTTCTTTCTTGAWAGCAAAAACCATCAGTGTGTGGTTTTCTGCAATTTGCACGATGCTGMAGTTCCGCTGTTTTAGTACATAACGAGAAAATTTAACTGCTACTAAATAAARCGAAAATGAATGTATTCATAGTTTCTTATCGAACAATGAAACGTTTTCTCTTCAATATGAACCTAACGCTGCTTCTTTTTMAATATAAAACACCGAAGTCGGTCTCTTTTTCGTTATGCAAACCTTTTCAAAGTGTGAATTTTCAAAAATATTCAAACCAATGTAGATACAACACTGCAAAGCTTATAAGTGAGAATGAAATAATTCTGTCAATGATTGATCGCTGAATACACTTGTTAGGGATATCATCTTGTACTTGTCAGGTATATTACGTCTCTCAGATCGACTGAGTCAAAAATGATACAATTTTCAATCGTAAATGAACAGATCGAAGCGAATCTCCTTGTTCTATCTGTTAGTGACTGGCCATCCTACAAGCGTTCATATCAAGGACGTTTATTTGGATAACCGTATGCGCTCAAGGCTGTATATGATATCTCGATTGTCATTGTCAATAGTTTACATGTTTGTCTTTCTATTTCTTACCTTTATKTCCCAAGTTTACATAGATTGACTAGTAAAACACTGTTTGAGATTAGTATATCCAGTTATGTGCAGCCAACTGTACCCGATCGACCACGTTGCCTCGAGGTCGCTTGCGTGACAAATCAATTGTTTGCAAAATACTCCATACCTGTTCGAAGRAGCGATTTTTGCATAACAARAAAAGAGTTCTACATAAATTACGTGAAAAGTCGTCGCACTAAACTCCTTATACCAAATACTAATATCGCTTTTTCCAATTTATATTCCAATTTTATGAGATAACTTATGAACTGATAGCTTAACCTTTTAACATACTCCTGTTTTTATTGTTGTAATTTACGCAATGTTTATAATGAATCGTTACGGAATGTGGACTGGACTGGTCTAAAGGAGTTCAACCTTGATTTCTGCTGTAGATTTAGAGAAATATAAGCTTATAAAATTATAAGCTTAGTTATCTTTTAAAATAATATAGAGCAGAGTCACTTGAACCATGAAATAGAAACTAAATATTTAGTAACTAATAGGCACTATTTAGACACTATCACTGWACCAGAACAGTACAARGAGATTAMTTTGATTGTTATAGTGGTCTCTTGGGTATTGCTTATTGGATCAAATAAAGTGTTCTGGTTCAGTGCTAATGACTATTAGGAACTAATAGTGCCTATTAGTTAGTACTTTTTAGTTTTTATTTCATGGTTCATGTGACTCTGCTCTAGTACTTAGTACTTACCGATTAATTATAGTGATCAATTCATATCCACAACATTCTTTACATCCAAATTAAATATCCACTGAACAGAAAGCTAAATTGCTTTTCATAATCTTGATTAGTCATTGGGAATACTGATACAGATCTACACTGTACCGCATAGTCGCCAAGCCACGGATGTATGAGTGAGATCCATAACTATTTAGCCCAGGAACCAATTTGTAGGTGTGATATATATTAATGAAATGATGTATAAAAATGCGATTTTCAGCCTGTAATTTYTTTATAATTTTTAGGTTCTTATAATAAATTTTTTGTGCAATCATTATGATGATGATGATAACGATGACTAATTGTCGGATTTCACACGTATCGAAGTAACTGCAATCTACTCCAGTTTTTTTGCTTCTACGCATTGCTTTCTCGTCTGCAGTTGACTTCAACACATGTTAGAATCAACGTTCGAAACTGGACTCCGCCTATGCTAGAAACCGGCTGYCAATCACACSTGCCGTGCTATGCATGGGATGCGTAGAGAAATGCTGTCACTTTCTTGTTAAATTTGAAAAATGCAGTTTATTTTATCAAGATTTGTTCTCTCTTACATAGTGCGTTTAACTGATGTAAACCTCCCTGCTTTTTTGTTTTATTTCATACAGTACTCAATCTCTCAATCAGATTAASACTAACACTACCGTTAGGAGCATGTGCATTAGCGATTCTCAAGTTCGTATTTTATTATTTGAGCGTGCAGTGCTTAGATGGGCTTCTAATCACACTACACGGGTGATTTCTGCGGCGATTTTTGCGGTCATTTTGATCCTAGTGAATAATATTAAAGAATTAACTTGTAAARTTTTATTCTATACACTGTTATGTCCTAGCTAAACGTCTTTTTACATGGACAAGACAAATTTTATTATATTTGTTCAAAGCGCCTAAAAGATCACCGCAAAAATCGGCAGTGTGAACCGASCGTGACTTTAATTCAGGGCATGGGTCCTACGCTTCCCTTTACCAACGAACCTTTCTAGATCCGGCAGAAAACCAGGCTAACTACATTATGCATCTATGAAAATGAGAGGGACTAGTTTTGACTTTATGTACGTCGTTGCTATGGATAGTTAYCTCAGTTGCWATGGTGMCTTATCACGTGACCATTGCTTATTGAAAACTTTTTATAAAAAGTGCTTTATACTTTATACCTTATTATATTCTTCAAAATTCGTCCGGTTTCACAGTAAGAGACTAAGTGCAATTGAAATATTTTACCTTATAAAATGAAAGTACTTTTGACAGTTCAACCTATTTACGACTTTCCATACTCATGTTCAGTGACCACGAACAAAACATTGAAGCGAGGCGTMAAGGAACACTGATCACAGATCTTTTCTTTTATGYTCACTGTACCTTGACGYCTCGGTTCAATGCTTTGTTCRTGGTCACTGAACCTGAGTATGGAAAGTCGTGAATAAATCTTTAGCACTAGGCCCAGTTTCCTGCGCCTTCACATTTGACCGTGATATTACCCTAGRGTCTAAGTACTACATTAACGTCATCAGAGGTAAACRACTTTCTTGCTGTCGCCCTGTTGTTGCTTTTTGTAGTATTTCTTAAGATTGCGAAGCCATGTTTTGGGATGRCCTGATAGGAAKGTGTTCTTKAGAACGCTATCCACAGGACCCTCGAGTTGGCAGAGAATTGTGATCTTAGTCGCCTTGTCACCAGTCTCCGCAGGTCGCAGTATTATCCCACATGTGTGAGTGATGAGCCTGAAATCAAGACGAAGAAAAATGAGACTTTAATGATTTTTCCTGAGGTTCTATGAAAAGTTTAAAACACGAGTGTTTTATTAGGTTTAACATTGAAGTTTTTAAAAAAAAGCCGTGAAATATACCCATGACCATCAGTCAAGAACTGTGTTATTATCGTTTATCGATTATCAAGTGTCGAATATCAATTATAAATTGTCGATTGTCGAATATCAATTATCGATTGTCGATCAAGTGTCGAATATCGATTATAAATAATAGATTGTCGACTATCAAGTGTCAAATGTCGATTATAAATCATCGATTGAAATGTCGATTATCTTACTGGATTTCCTTTTTCTTTTTTGTCAAAGTATCGGTCTTTTCATCTTCGTYGATGACATCTTGTTTCTTCCATGACAAGACATGACATGGCGGGTCGAGCTCTTCCTGATCCATTGTCTCAAACGTTAAATCACGCTTCTTCACGGGACTGAAATCAAAGTAGTTACTTTAATCATGGAGAACTTTTTCATTTTTGTATTTTTTTCTGCCTATGTTTTCCATTGTAGTAGGAACCGTACATTATACTGCACCGTTTCGCGCATTTATCTGTTCACATATGTGATACAACCACCTTATATTACATACATCATTCTGTCATTTACACCCAATTGAAAAATCGTAGTCGTGTTCGAAAAGGTCACATCATAGAAGCTAATACCGAAAGCGATTTTGAGTACCACTAAATTGGGATTACATTTGCATATACAGTGTACCG